ACACACACACACACACACACACACACACACACACACACGGGGGAGGGGAGATAAAGAGTGTGCTGAAATTCACTGCTTTTAAGTTAAGAAGCCCTCTAATTTCTTCTGCAATGTTTAAAAATGCATACTTTTGTAGTTCTCTTTCACATTAATGTAAATTTTTTCTATCAGTCAACCTATTGTATACCTTGAATAATGCATAGAGTGTAAGAACTATAAGGAAATAAAAATGATTTCATATATTAAAATATATGCTGTTCACTGAAGTTGAGTCTTATAATCTTAGTGTGAGGTAAGAGACCATAAAGCAGTCCTTTAAATGCATTAAAACTTAGGGGCATTAACAATTTTTTAGCATTAACAATGATTCAGCTAGATGACAGAAAGCTTATTTCCACATGTATCCTTAGAATGAGTAATAAGGATTGCAATAACACAAACTATTTGTAATCATGTTCTATGAATTATGGCTATAACCAACTGAATTTATAATCTTTATCTCCTGACAGATCTAAGAATTCTTACTGTTTCTCTGCTTGATTCGGGAAGATGTAAGCCATCCAAAGATTCCATGATGGTTTCTTGAGCAATTAATTTGGAAACTGTGAACAGCTTAACATTTGACTTGGAATTTCTGGTGCTGCTGTTCAAAATGCTGACTGCAGCTTCATTATAGGCATCTATCTTCTCATTAGTGATCATCTTCCTATTTTCACTTAATAGATCTTCATAAACTGGATCTGCACATTGGAAATATATTTTAGAACAAATTTCAAAAAGTTCTTAATGGTAGAAACCATACTCATGTAAGGTAGATGATCCACATTTCTTACTTTATTCTTAAACTCCAGATGATGTTAGGTATATAATAATTCATTTTTACATAAAGTCAGCAAAGGTTTACAATAGATTTCCTACCTTACATTCAACTTTTGAGTTAATATCTCCCTCAAATTTAAAGAACTCTTACCACTTTTGTAGGTATGAAATTTAGGGGCAACATTTTTATGCTGGAGCATTTTGTAAAACTTTAAAATTCTTAATAATAATTATAAGAAATTAAAAACAGATTATGGAAGACTAACAAAGACTAATAATCATTTTTTCTATCTCTGTTCAGTTTTGTTAAGTTTGTTCACACAATTTAGAGGTGATAATCAGGACCCAGATCTGTGTATTTCATCAATTATTATATTTATTTTTGTATCATTTTCATAAGAATAAAATAAAAATTGTGGAATTATAAATTTTTAATATTTCATTATTTTTATTCATGTGTACGAATGTATTGCCTACATGTATGAACCTGTGTTGTGCAGTGCCCGCAGAGGTTAGAAGAGGGTGTCAGATCCCCTGAAACTGGAGTTACAGATAGCTGTTAGCCACCACGTGGGTGCTGGGAATTGAACCTGGGTCCTCTGAAAGAGCAGTCAGTGCTCTTAAGCTCTGAGCCATCTCCCTAGCCCCTGGAATGGATTATTATAACTCTTTCTTATTCCTTTCACCTTGGCATTCAACTTGGAAATAATCGTAAGAATTACTGAAAACATCTTGGGGCTGGAGAGATGGTTCAGCGGTTAAGAACACTGGCTGTTCTTGCAGAAGACCCGGGTTCGAATCCCAGCACCCACATGGCAGCTAACAACTGTTCATAACTCCAGTTCCAGGGGATCCGACAGGCTCTTCTGTCCTCTGCGGGCATTGCACGACATGGGTGCACTTACCTACAGGCAGGCAATACACGCATACACAGAAAATAATAAATAAAATATTTTTAAAAATTAAGAAAACATCTTAAATTGCTAAACTATTCCAGACATTTCATTTTTTTAGTCGTTAAATAATGAGCATCCAATAAATTTCTGAAATGAGCCTATCTAATAATGCCCACTTCTTTTAAAAAAAGTATAAGTATAGACAAGATGATGTAAATTTAAATATATTCTGTCATTTTCAAAGTATATTTACTTCTAATGATCATAATACGAAAGAGAATCATAAATTTTTTTTCTGTATTTCCCAATCACAATAAATATATACTTTGCAAAACAACAACAACAACAATAACAACAACAACAAAAAATCAGAGGCAAATTTCACATTTGCCTTTCAGGTTTATCTATTTAATATATTCTGAAGTTATTCTGCCTGCTGAGGTTCCTTGGAGGGTGTTTTTAAATTTATTTTATGCTTACTATATTTATTAGTTTGTTCCTTAAATAAAAAAAAAAAAACCAAGAAACTATTTTATTCTAATCTTGTAAACCTTATTTCAAAATTTATTCTCATAAAGCAGTAAGTTTGTCTCTTGGAATAGGATCCCTTACCTTGTAAGACCCAATAAACATCACTAGTCTTTGCCAGCTTTTCTAGTAGTGGTGCTATAGAGGTAATGTTCATTTTGTATTGAGAGAGTGCTTCACTGCTACCATTGTGGATCTTGATGGACCACTAAGAAGCAGAAAAAGTTAAGCATTAATTCAGCACTTTATCATAAAAAAAGTGAAGTGTATAGTACACCTATTATAACAAGGGTAATTTTAACATAATTCTCATTTTTAGTTAATATTAAAACAAATTTAGTCAAATTATTTAATGAAATACATACATACAATTATAAAAAGCTGCTATAAAATAGACTTGAATGTACAACACTCGGGAATATAATTCTAGATATAAAATAATGCTGAGATTTAACATGAAATTTACTCAGTTCATTCAGATCTTTTTTAGTAAAATTAATCAGTCTGATTAATTATAATCAAAATGGAAATTAAAATATAAATACAATTAAGAATTGTATTTAACACTTCCTTAGCATGTCCTCAAGAGTGAAGTAAAGACCATTCTGTTAGAAGTCAGATAAGAACTTACTGTGGCAGCGCCTGCTACAATCACATGGGGCTTTGCAATGGAGTCCTAAAGGAAGAAAAGCCTTTAAAGCCACGCTGCAGCCAGTTCATGGACTGAATATAAGTAACATTAGCTATGTTCTTTCCTTAAAATTTAAGTTCTTCTTCCTTACAAATCCATGTTAAGCTTATAGCATCTGTGCTGGATTCTTGTTACAATAAGATAGCCATCCAATGCCTGAAATCTTCCGTGGTAATACTATATACAGGTTAATTCTCACAAACATATACTGCTGAAATCTAACTTGACCTGCTATTATCTGAACTCTGAGTGAGTTGCTTAAAGTAAAGCTCCAGTGTATTATGTTAGTCAATTAAGAGGTATTCATGGAAGCCTACAGGGTACACAATGTAAGAGTTAAAAAAAAAAAAAAAAACAGGGTCAGGGCCCTAAGG